AGAGAGAGAGAGAGAGAGAGAGAGAGAGAGAGAGAGAGAGAGAGACTGGGAACAAGAGTATACCCTTCTAGATTAGCTAGGGATTTGCTTTCTCCAACCAGGCCCTATCTCCTAATAGGACATTTGGTTATTAACTCATTAGTGGATTAATTCACTAATACGTGTAGCACTCCTTGATCCAACCACTTCCCCAAAGCCCTGCCTCGGAATACATGAAAGCTTTGGTGAGCATTTAATTTAATTAATTAATTTATTTATTTTGTATTTTTAGTACAGGGTCTACAGGGTCTCACTACACAGATCAGACTCGTAGTGATTCTCCTGTTTTCAGCATCCCAAGCACTAGGATTACAGGCGTGTGCCACCACACCCAGTCTCAGTCATCTGTTTCAGTGTGCCCTGGGGGTGGGGCTGGCACAGCATGCCAGGGATCGAACCCCGGCCGCTGTGCTCTGCCTAAGCAGGCACTTTAGTCCGCTGAGCTATCTGGCTGACCCTGGTGAGCATTTTAGATCAGAACTATAACAACTGGTAGTGGTATTAAAATGATGATTCTATTCTTTCATGGAGTCTTAGAGACTGAAGTGTTTTGGATGGCTATGTTACTGAGAGTGGCTGCAGGTCTTCCTGAGTTACTTCTTAGCTGCAGAAGAAACATATTTAAAATTGTAAATTCTTTTAGTAAGCACAGTCAGTGGTTGTGGTCTATGGAACAAAGGTTTTAGCCCGGTGAATCTGGAATTCAGGGATGATTTGAGCAGGGACTTGAAGGGGGAGCAGGGTTGTGCCAAGTGGAGAACTGGGATCACTTTGGGAAGAAACAACTTCATGGCCAGCATGGGGGTGACTATTTATCTTTCCTACCAGGCAGTGATCTACAGTGAGGCTCCAGGTCTCTGCCACCTGGCTAGAATGGGGCTCAGAGGTGAAAACTAGTGCTGATCTTACTGCCTGCAGGGTACTGTGAGCCCAGGACTGAGTCACCAGGGCCTCAAAGATACAGAAATTCTGGGGGCAAATGGAGAGGAATCAGCATGGGTATGTTTACACAAGGGCTTTGTAAAATCCATCAGATTACTGTTTGATGGATTTTAGAGGTAAGCTCAATCTGCACATCAGATACAAATGTGTCTAATTCATTTGTAAGCCCTGGTTTCTTCACAGCTGTAAATCAGCATAAATGTTATTTCTTCCTTCTTTTTCTGGTGCTAGGGATCATCCCAGGGTCTCTGGCATACTAAGCAGGCATCTGCTGCTGGACTATATCCCCAGAGCCAGTTCTTCATACTTGGCCTGGCTCTGCACCTACTAAGTTTCTGGGAAGGTCTAGCATCTTGGAGGACACTACCAAGGGAAGCCAGCAGGAACTTTGGTGACTGGGAGACGGGGAGATAAGGAATTTAGAACCTTAGGGCATCAAATGGCATGTGTGCAAACTGTCCCACACTAGTTGTATCAGTCACTTTCCTATCA